TCAATTCCTTAAATAGATAAATAAGTTGCACCGTTTGCATGATTACATGACCCGTGTGGTGCCCGTGGAAGACGATAGTTCTGGAGCAGTGGTTCTTAAACTGGGGCAGATCTTGGTCTAATGGAGCCATTTGTAATTGCTTGTGGAGTTGAGGGTCCAGTTTAGGACTCCTGCTGCCGAGATGCATGTGTAAAACAACAGAGTCTGGACTTGGGAGGGGCAGTAATGCCATTATTCAAGACCTCAAAAGAGGGTACTTGGGTCAAATAGTTTAAGAACCACTATTCTAGAAAAATTACAGATCATTGACCGTTACTGCAATGATACAATACTTCCTCTTTTTCATTTTTTTCTCTTCCTCATACTCAGTGTTAACTGTTTTCCTGCTATTAACATAATCATAGTTCCCTTGAGAAAACTTCTGTGGTTTTCATGTATGATCTCCATTTGGGTGGGAATGGGGAGCCAGTTCTGTTTTCTGGACCCTCGTGTGGAAGAGTACACAAGCACTTTAACCCCCCAGAAGCCGGGAATGCAGCTTTCAGATGCCCTCCAAAGGTTGCCATCACATTTGTTAATAATATTTTGTTAATAATGATTAACAATAATCATTAGTTCATCATCATTATTTTTTATCCTGGTCCCATCAGGTTTTTTTGTTGTTGTTGCAGCTACTGGCACACACTCAAAGATTCTTTAACGTTGCATGCTTTTGACATTCCAAGTCTGGGTGTCTTTGTACTGGTGCAGCCATGGGCACTGTGAAATGTTAATTTTGTCAGATAGCAAATAGGAGTATCATCTTGCATAATCTCTCAGGGATCAATCCTCCCCCACTCCTCTCAAATGTGGCAGTGGTCATTTTGGGGGTGGGGGAGAAACAAAAACATACAGTCTGGAGCTCAATGAGGAGAACAGCATGATTGTCCCACTTGGTTGCAGAACTTACGAAATAAATAGTTAAGAGATCTGTGCTCCAACTGGACACAAATCCTAAACCTAAAAGAAGACTGGGTGATTTGGAGGCAGGGGGGAGGGGAGTTATTCATCTGAATCAGTGTCTAACTCTCCCAGCTCTGATTCCAGATCTTTTGATAATTCAGAAGTGTTGTGCCTTTGAAAGGGTAGGGCATCATCATATTGTGTGCGAAAAAGAGTGGAAAAAATTGAAACCCCCTTTTGCCCTTTCCTTGTGCCATGAGTTGGCGGAGAGGGAGGGATCAGCAGACTACTGTATAGTGAAAGCCAAATGCCTCTTGCAGTCCTGATGCCTATGGGATTGCAGTGAGATTGTGGTATGAAGGAGAGCAATAAAACCATTATTTCTACATCTCTTTGATGATTATGGTCTTGTCTCTTCCGAACAGAGACAAGTATATAAAACATTTTCAGTTTATCGTCCTTGTTTCCATTCATGCTTCGTCTTCTTTGAGTTAGTTTGTTTACCTCTCCTTTCTTTCCTATCCCTTCTGTGATGGAATGGTGTTATGAAGGCCACGT